GAGTTCGATACCAAAAAAACAGAAGTAAACTCAGCACTTGTTTTTAATGCTTGAAAAGTCCCGTGAAACACAATGAGAGAAACATATGTTGATAAAAAAGCTCCTTTCCAGTTGAAACATTCAAATCCCGTAGTAAATTTGAACAATCAAGTCAAGGTCAGAGAAAATGACAAAGAGAAATTAGTTTCAAGGACTCTCGACCGCAGTGTACGTATAACATAAAACATGCACACACACACAAAATCCAACTATTAGAACACTCGTTTGAAGATGAGCAGTTATTTTCGAATGTTTCATTATTTAGCATGTACATATTATATCAGGGTTTGTTGTTAGTAGGGCCACTCTTCACGCTAGGTCGAAAGGTCATTCGGGACGGGGAGTGAGGAGGGTTGGAGTGAGTTCTGTCTGTCTATGTTTGGGTGGGATTAATTTTGATTTGAGTGTTGGGGGTTGGGTTGGTGATCGATTTGCGAGCACTTGAACCAGTCGCTTTCGTGCGCCTAGTTCTGGTGCGAAAATGGCAAATGCCCATCGCCTCGGCGATGGCTAGTGTGTGCAATCGCACTGCCTTCGAGGGGTTGGGAGCCACATGATTGATTACACTGAACGTGGATTCTGGTCTAATTGAATGGTCTGTATCCACTACCTATAGATCAGATGATTCACGAAGTCGGAAACAAACAGCTGAGTAGAATTTTCAGCTACTGTGCATCTGCTTGTTTTGCCGAAGCAACTGCCAATGGGTGACCTCGTCTCATAAGCCCGACCGCACACCCTCCTGGATCACATGTGTATATGTGGTTCGGTGAACCGGCCGTTTTGTGCCCACTAGCCACTGCTCTTGAAAAACAGATCATAGTTATCAGTACTTGCCAAATGGACTTAACGGATGACGTGCAAGTCACGTCTGTATGTTCGGGAGATATGTGAGGAATTCAACCATCTTACTACTAACGACGCGAAAAGCGGACCGCTTCAACTGTAAAAAAGTACTTATAGGAGTTTCTTCTAATCGGATCGGTTCAGAGCAGGAAGAAATGGATAAATGAGGACACCAGCGAATACGATGAAGTTGAGAAATACGGGAAATGCTTCTGTGTTCAAGAGCCGATTTCAGTTCAGAGAATAACAGCTGTCTCAATTTATTTATATTGTAGTGTGAGAACAGAAGAATTATATTATTGAAGAGAAGGCAACCCACAAGTTTTGATGTGAACTGTCCTCTGGATAAATAATTTATACAACTTTTTGTGGTACCACCACATTAATAATGTTTGTATAGAAGTTTGTACAGGATCGTTATACGCACACAGACTCAAACATCTAGGTGTTCCCTCCATATTAAGTCACGTTTACCCTAGTCGATCTCTGGATAAACCTCATTTGCCTAACTTGTTTAATGTTATACGTACATGAAAGAAATTCCTCTCGTAGTCTTCTCCCGTTGTTCGTAATCATGCCATTAGGCGGCAGTAAATACAATATTTAACAGTATGGAAAAGGAAATGACATGGATCCAACCCTAATGATTCTCATGTGCATCGCTTAGTGCGCACGAAGTCGATCAGAATCTGAAAGGTTCTCAGATGGTTGCACATATTTTGGGTAGTATGTATGGGACCGGGATAGTTTAGTTGCTTGTGAAACTGGCCTTTGGGCACACCAGAGACGGGGGATGCGAATGTTTACAGCCTGGTCTGTGGTTAAGTTGCGAACCTGGACTGTTATACATATATCTTTGGTCCACTTCGAAATTTGGCAAAGGAACAAGGCCCGTTTCCCTCGTCCACGAATTGGTAACACTTTGGCTCACTTTATGTCATCCGCAACATGACGTACAATCTCGATAGCCAGTAAAACATGCAATATACATGACCAAACGCGGATGCGGTTTTACTGATCGCGAGGGAAAGTGTATGGCAGGGAAGCGACAGGAGGCCTTGAACACCGACTTGTGTTGTTCATTCATTGTTTTAACGTGGTTTCAATGTGGACATAATCGAAGGTAGAAAGATTAATTACTGTTGGGTGAAGAAAACATGAATTTTCACAATACAATATGGTCACTGTTTTCAACGCACTGGGAGAAGTGAATAGAGGCATTACAAATTTATGGAGAGAATCAGTATGGTAGGAGCGAACATCCCAGGGAATGAAAAAAATGTTTCAGGGTTCATTAAGTGCTTTTCGATTTTCTCATCGCGAATGTTGAACTGCTAACACTTGAACGGCTTCTGACATCTGGAACATTTAAGTTTGGGGTAAAAAGAATGACAGACGAGTAAAACTGAAGGGAGAAATACTAAAAAAAGCATTACTCTGTAGGCTACTAGGGATTTATCATGAAGGATGCTCAGCAAATGATCTAGGCTTCTAACAATAGCTTTTCCAGTCACATGCACAATTTCAGCGATTGAGGTTTTGAGGCAAATTGTCAAAATATCGATTCAATTAAAAGATTACGATCTCAGCTGTTGGAAAAGCTTTTGAACCCTGAGGTTTTTCATCGATTTGGGCCGTCACGAACTTGCCGCCGAGGTCAAATTTCAAAGATACGAGTGTTTTCGCACATCCTCAGTTGAGAACGGCTTCATACATTTTGAGGGTCAGGAAAAATTTGTTTAGTTGATGTTGCATTGACAGCGTTATTATATGCTTCCTGTTGAAGTAGATTTTTCTTCTATCCATAGCGAACAATGTTTTCTTTTATCAATTCGATTCGAGAATAATGCATCTACTCAATTTGCTTTGACTTTGAAAATCTGACAACTTCCCTACAAGTGAAATAATATGGGGCTTGTGTATGCCATAGCTACACATCTGCAATTGTTCAAGTGGGAAAAGGTCCACTTCGCCTTGATTCATTTGGGGGAACAAAACTGAAAAACTGCGTTAAAAGGTTCCCGGAAGGGGAGTGAAAAGAGAAGATGAGAACCACGAGGGGACGGTTTGAACAGATTCAATAAAAATTAAAATATGAACTACCAGATCGTATCGGGTCAAATAAGTTCCGGACATAGAGTAACTACACTTTGGATCAAACCTAATGAAGACACCTGCTATTGTTAACTGAAGCTTTTACTACCTAGCTTAGAGAAAAGAATAATTAGTGATCAGAATGTTCAATACTTAGGTGGGACAGCAACAATTCATCATACAATTAGAGAATACCCATTTTGGTGATTAGAACCTCAACCAGTGTCAAAATATTATCAAAACTGATGCGAATCAGTACGGAGAGACCCTGTATCGAATATTTGAAATGTCTGGCGAATAAATGTGAGTAGAGAATGATATACCTCTGGTAAAGTAGCTCAAATCAGTGATTCCGCGCCGATCCGATGTAAACTGTATGACACTGTACGCCGGATGAAGGAGGACTTCCCAGAGAAAGTTCGCGGTTCAAAGCACACACCCGTGGTGGATATGTACAGCTGATGAGCCCAAATGAAGGTGAAACAGAAGTGTGCTATTTCCTGATTGTAGGGTTGTTAGAAGGAAGTTTAATTGGTGGTGAGAACGTTGAGGGACCGTACATTTGTCAAAAAATTACTTGTTTCACAACACGCATGGAGTTTACTGCAGTTATGTGCACAAACCTGATAACAATATGACAAAGCATGGCAAAGTATAAACCAAACGTTTGGGTAACAAAAAAGGAGGCAGTCCCAAATCGCACATGGTGTTTAATAGATGTAGGTGTCAAAAGTTGAACGAATCCGAATACGTACACAACCTTCGTCACGTTTGTGGTTTTATTCAAATCAACACATTTTCAACCCAATTGTATGATGAAATATTTTAGTGTAAGTTGTTCATCAGTTAAGACCACATAGACAGGCACAGTTTTACCAGTAGGAAGATACATCAGATTCGAGGCAAGTCGGCTCATTGAAATATATTTTTCCACATTTCAGCAGTGGCCTAAAGTTGGCATCAAACACTTATGTACATCTATCATACTCATTCTAATAAAACACACGTTAATTTTGCACCTTTTTCGAGCATCCGAAGCAACACACAATCGTATCCATCTGATATTTTGACAAATAAATAAATCTGTGTTGTGTAGCAACCCTTTTGCATCAGTCACAAATGTATGTCCTTCCAGATATTACATTCGTGAATTTTGGCTCGTGGTGCGCCAAAGAGAAAGACATTCTCCTCTCATCCGACATGACCTATCGGAACAGCCTTCAAACGGCCGTGTTCAAAACGACCACGGTCATGAATGTGCCCAGACAAAACATTGTGCGCTACCGTCATCAATCAAGCGCGTAAGTCAAACCACCGGTCATTGATCGTCTCACCTGCCCCCCCCTCCCCTCCCCTTGGGGGTGCGATGGAATCTTTTTAGATCAACCAATCATGTATGGTCTCTTCAAGTAGGTAGACGGATTGAGAAGAGGTCAAGGGTTCAAATCCATTGACTATTTGGTTTAAATAGGCCATATAATCATAGAGAAACAATTATCATTATTCCGTTATCAGTTTACTATTGTAAAGCCTTATCATAACACGTGAAACAAACATCCGAATGAATAAAATGAGATCAGTCATATGGTAAATTGTAGAACTGAAAAGCGCATCAATTATGCTGGATAGGATTAGCTATACCGAGCGTACCAGATCCGTTGTTCTATAGCATTTGCGTTCGCTGAGTTCTAGTGAAAACATGGAATAAATAATCAAATTTGGTTAATGGTTGTTGAGACCGCATATGTGTGGCGTTGATCTCTGGTGTTTCGGTCCTAACTTCATCTATTTTGTTCCCTAAGACTTTAGGAAGTGAGGTTTGATCGGTGAACTAAAGCACTTAATGGGGAGGCGGTTCTCAGACCCCACATTAGTGACCAAACATCATTTTGAGACAGACTGATAGAAATAAGGTAGAACCACGTGACTGATCGCGAAGGTTTTCAATTACCCTAAATGCATTAAAAGTTCGATCCATTTTGGTGAACACGCCATTTCACGCTTGCCAAGTCCTACTGTATCCGACAATCCTTAGTCGATTGTACTGCGATTGAAAAACGCAGTTGACTACTATCGTGAATTTCCTCCCATCGATTAAACAAAGAGAAAAAAGTGTGAATATTCTTTCTTCTCTTTCACAGCAAAGATATCTTTATTTGCGGAGACATGGAATGTGACAGTCCAAAGAAAGTACTTGTCACTGATGTGGATGGCGGTCTGTTCGGAAAGCCAGCTGTGGCTTTGCCAAAAGCGATCAATACAAATATGATGTACAATTTTGTGAAGCACAATATCCCACTTCGAAGAAGATTGACCCGTCAGGGAACAAACGTGGATTTCATGAAGTCATGGCCCTTTTTCGGTAAATTTCCATCACATGCGGGTGGGGTAAGAAATAACTTTATACGACGATGCAGTCCGTAAAAGTTAATGATATTTCAGAAATTTAAAATATCCAATTTGAAGGGTAATTGTTCAACATACAGCTTCTCTGTGCACTTAATACAGTCAACTACATCTGTATAAGAACAGGATGCGAGCGAAGAAAGTAAAGTCTAACAAATAGTTATTAAAAACCTATGGTTAGATGCCTCCTGATCAATACGTTACAAACCGTGTCAAAATGTAACTTTAAAATATCCCCGCCGCTCGCCGCATGGTCGCACATTTTTCTGTTTTTACGGTTCCAATGTTCTACTCATACATTTGTAATGCTTTTGAGGTCATCGAGTTGTGCCAAGTTTTCTATTTGACCATGGAAACAGATTAATCATTCTTGAATCTGTGTACTGACCAGTTGATGTGCTACAACAGTGAGATGAAACTTTGGCGCTGACAGTGATGTAAACGCCTCGAGAATTCGCAAAGCATTCATGCTGCTCGACCGCATCATCACAACTAGGATTCCCGGAATATTTTTCTGTCTGAAGATTGTTCAATTCACTAAATATGCACATGACAATCAAGCTCATTATCAGTGCTCATACCATTAATGCACGACTGAATACAGATTGGGATTTACGAAGGAATCGGGGAAGTAATTTATTTTGTTCAGTCCCATCTGTAACTATAGTGATAAGCATAGTGTGTTGTGAAGGCATGAGCGCTAATTATCAACATGTTGGCTCTTCTGTGTGCCCACTATGCTTTCTACCGGACTGATGTGATATGCTTGGCTCGTGTGTGCAACAAAATGTCCCACGTGAACGGCTGCACCAGACAACTGAATGTGGGCCGAGTCCATTGAGTGCAGGCTGAGTGTTGGCTGATAATCAGTATGGGAGGAAAACAAAAACACCAGTGAGACATGAATACCACCCAAATGGAACGACAAGTTGCCAAGGTTTTTGGTTAGACATTCACTTAGAAACGCGGTCCACTATGTTTGGTTGTATTTCTATTTTGGGGACTTCAAGTGATCGAGGAAGGCGACACTCCTGGATTTAATTTGCTGGTATCTCTTGTATTGGTTTTGACACCATTCCAGACTTCGCATTTATTTGATTATTTTATTCTCTACTGGATACTCGAGAACCATCAATCAAGAGTGGTGCAAAAATGGTGCCGCACAGATGATCGAGCAAACTGACACAGAACTAAATTTTGTTTCGCTTTCCCGTAATAAGCTGTTTTTTTGGTAATGTCTCATTCAATCCTAGTTAGTATTTGTCCTGAGACTGTGCATTCCATGGAAATGGGTTCGTATCCTCGGTTCCGCAACAGATGTAGTCAAGCGCACGTATTGATCGCACATGAGGCTAAGGAAAGCAAATCGTGAACGAATAACAAACAGTCTTATTATTTCCAACGGAGATTTCGAATTCGAATTCAAACTCCAATTTTTGTTATATATAGATTACAGAGCTGATTCTTCTTAAATCCATAGGATCTGTGCGCACTGCCTTCGGTTGGTAGTACAAGTAAATGGCAAGTTATAACTGTCACTCATAGATGCTGAACAGCAAGGAGTTTCAATGCTTCATTCAGTCGTGACTTGAATGAATCGATGGTTGTTGTACAAACAACTTGAGGTGGAAGAAAGTTCCAGGTATTACAAACTCTGAAGCTGAAAGAATGACGTCTGCAGTCTAGCTGACTCTTTTGGTGTAAAAGTTTAAATGGATATCCCCTGAGGTGACCATTCTTGGATAGTGTTTGTAGAGTACTACACGGGTGACTAGAATGATGTAGTATTCAATATATGGTCCCCCGTATTCGACGGTATTCAGATGAATAGAGTCCGAGAATATACAGTCTTTTCCCGTAGATTTTAGATTGTCACCATTTGACCATCTTGGCTGATGTTCTCGGCGGACTTTCGAGCACCTTTTGGCCATAACACTGCGTTGTGTCTCTGAGACCGACAAGACTGCTTTGCTGCGACTCCGATCGTGAATCAGAACACAAAGGATTCGTTTTGTTGCATAGATACTCTGATGTTACCAACAGCTACCATACAATTGCACTAGTTAAATTATAGGTCAAGTAAAAGTAGGGTGCTTTTTCTGGTCATCATTTTTCCTGGGTGATATTGGACCACTTTGAACACTCAATAATGATGTCAATTGATGCAAACTACCACTGACATCCCCATGCAGAACTCATGTGCTCATATCCCAACATAATCGGTTGTAAAATCGGAAAATGAACTGAGGCTGCTGTCTAGCTCTATGATTTCATTGTATCAGATAGAAGCCATTTGATGATGCGCCTCCAATTTTCTAAACATTACGTGTACAGATTTTCATTAATTGGATGGTCAGTGATCAATTATCAATACAGTTCCCCCACCGTCGCTAAACCAGAGACTGATTATTCGTTTCATTAAAAATCCTCCTACTTTTGTATCTCCAAGGTATTGTTCGAGACGAGGCTTGCGTTTTGGGTGCCGCAAAACAGGCGTACATATGTCCCATGGAAGTGTCACATCGCATGTTACTTATCCAACCAATAAATGGGAAAAATCCGGACTTGAAACGCGTGGGAGCTGCGGTTCTGACCACCGAGCTACGTAAGGTGAGAAACTCTTTGTGGTCTAAAGTACAAAAACCTCTTTATTCTAAACCCAAATCCAGTCGGTCCAGTGGAGCTCACTGTCAGACGCCTGGTGTAAAAGCTAATAACAGTATGTGAAAACGTTTCCAGTCACTCGTATAATCCACATCAAAGCTTTCACAAAATAAAACCTCTCAGAAAGCTACTCGACTTCTTCTTAGAAGAATAAAACTGAGCCTCGACCCCGAAAATTGGACCAATTATTGCTTTAAAAAATGATGACTAATTATTTAGTTTTTGTTTCAGCCCAATGGGACAATAATCAACATTTTCGGATGGCTTAGTCTTATTGATTTTTAGGTTTTCAAACAGTTATTTTTTGACAGTTATCAGTCCTGGCATGAGAACACCCAGGAATATCTCAAACCGTACGTGACATTTTGCTCCCGGAAGTGAAAGCTTTGCGGTGCTGTGTACCGTGTACACAGTTGTGTAAAATAAGCTTTTCGTCCCAATGATGTACAAAGTCGTATTCCATTACCAGTGTGAATTTCGAAGTAAACTGAATCACATAAATACTCTCGAATGCTTTTGTACAAAATAATCAGCTTTTGTACGGGAAAGGAATACAGATTCAGTTATACTTTCCTCAGTCCCAATTGAAGTGAACTGCTCCACATTGTCTTACCGCCGGTAACCACATCTTTAACTTTACTACGGCTGGTTTCTTGGAAAGGATAAGCCAGCTCCATGAATATCTATGATTGCCGCCGTAGAGGACAAGATCATAAAATTACTTGGGAGTTTAATACAAGAGACGTCCCCGGCGTCACTCGGCGTTTTTTATTTTGAGGGCACACCCCTTGCCTTTATGCAACGAAGTGTGAACTGCAAGGTAGCAGGAAGTAATTACGCTTTGAAAGTGAGGTCAGTCACATCGACGTTTGTCACGACATCACCAGGCACTATCGATTGTGTGCTTCCTGGAAAATAGAATTAAATGGGTAATTTTTCTTATGTAAGTAATCATCGGTATATTGGGGCTCGCTCTTCCCTGCGTTTCGTTATCGGCGGGTGGACCGGTTCATTAGTAAGGAATCATAAGAAGCAAATAGAAATTAGTTAACATGTTGCTCTAAACGGGGCTGTCTTTTAGTTCTATAAGTATACACTCTTATACAATGCGAAAGAATTAACGTAATTGGTAACCGTGATCCTAACTTGCCCCCAATCAGAAGCACATGGAAGTTTTTATTGTTCTGATGACCTATTCCGAACACAGGAGAGGTTGTAGTGTTTCCTATTCCGCTGCCGCCGCTGTTACATTTCTTCCGGTCCAGCAGTGTGTCACATATTTTACTGTACCGGGCAAACCTGACTGGGTAGGGGCCACGTACGCAAAACATGTTTCCTATCGGTGATGATCTATCCACACTTGTTAGACATATCCTCGTTTGAGTGATGTTAGTTAAACCGTCCCGACCACGAACTCATTATCTCCTGTGTTTGATACACATCATCTCTACACAACGTGCCACTTCTATTGAACCCTAAATTGATCCTGCACTTGGTCGAATACTGTATGGCATTAAGAAATAATAAACGATTAATCGAATACGTAAAAATAAAACCATTATAAATAGGTATAGGTTGAATTATCACTTTATACGGTGATCGTTTCTGAGTACGGTTGACGTTTCAATCTCATCGTATGATTTGCTTACAATGTACCGTTCAGAAACGATAGGCATAAAAACAGACACTCACAATGTGAGAGCATTCAAATCCGAGATTATTGCACTATTACTTTTCCTTCATTGTTCCTCCTGTCACGGAATCCAGGTTGGGTTTATTGACCTGGTCAGTGGTCGACTCGGTTGTGTGGACGCGGAATGCAAACAAGGCCAGGAAGTGTTTCCCCTAATTGTGACCAACCGTTCCACGTTTTCCGTGTATTTCACTCGGGACAATCCGGACGCGTTACACCTACGCCTGGCGGACGCCAAAGATGACTATCGGGTTCATTTGCGACTGGATTATCGTCAAGCAGCGAGATTGGACGTGTTTGTGAACTCGGAATATGTGCTACCACAAAACGGGGTGCTGAACGATCAGGTTGGTTGTCGGGGTTTTCGCTTATTCTTCATCCCAGTGTGACCCAATGAGTTTCATTTTCAGAAAATTGTAAAACGGTGTAAATACATTTTGCGTTGTCTTTTGTAAATTTTACCCAACTTACACAAATATTTACAAGAGAATATTAGAAGATTTTATGTGATTATGTGGTCTGATCAACCACTCGGTGGTGAAGCCGGTAGCGTACTTGCATTCTATTTGTGGGGTTCTGGGTTTGATTCCCGATTGGGTAAAAAGATTTGCATTGTTTATAAGACATAACGAGGTTAAAACAGCTGAACAGCAATAATTCCAACGGTTTCAGTGCAAACGTAATTTACTGTACACACGACGAAATTCTTTCATGATTAGCGCCAAAAGGCGATGATGCACTGGGGCCTTTGCATACCCATCTAAGTATTAATGTAGATTGTTGTAGTATTCGGAATAGGAACCGAAATCGAATAGCGCGAACTCGGTATCGGACTGAAAACCCACTGAATAGCGCAAAGTCAGGTAGAACCAGGACGGGCTGTGGATACAGTTAATTCTATTCAGAAATTAATGGAAATATATATTTCAAGCAGCAAACAATCATTGGTCGATTCGTGAATGTCCAATCGACAAGGATATGGTTTATCTGTTTGCCTTCTTGCACTCAGCCAATCCGGATGATGTCAATTGAGAACACAGGTTGGTCGGTTATCCCGCTTCTTGATTGGTTACCTGGAAACTGTACCGCGGTGCGTGCGCACTCGTTACACGGTCATCACAATTGTTTAAAGATGTAACCTTATCAAGCCTCTTTCCCCCAAAATTGCAACCATTATTCTCAGTCGGAAGAGACTGCTTTTACGGAACAGCCCTCCGGCGTTCGTACCTACTTACTTGTACGTAGAGACTTGTGAATCCGGCCGCGTGTAAATTACAAAGTTTTAATCATAGAAACCTTTTTTACACGAGCAGAGTTATTCATCACAAGCACAGGTAAAGTCCGGTGGCTATTTGTTCTTCAGAATCCGTACAATTGCCCGTGAAAGAAGCTTATTGCGGTTTCCACTACGGCAGCTCTGACCTATAGCTTTGCGACTTAAAGTGAATCCAACCAATCGCATTCCCCACTCGATGATTTCAGTTTGAGTTTCAGTTTAACCATGTGCTATCATGCGCCGGTTTTGGTTGTTATCTTTCGTCTGCCCATTTGAATGAACCTAAGGAGAAAGACAGAAAAAGTTGAAAGTAGGATCGAAAAGAGAATTGGAAAGCTCAGTGGATTAATGATACAGAAAAATCGACCAGATGCACGAATGCCACTGTTTACGACACCCAGCCACCTGATTCGGGCAATGCTGCGTAGACAGCGGTGTTCAAATACCGACAGTATATCTTTATCCTCTTTACCTAATGGCCAAGTTTCTGCTCCATATAGCAGCACTGGCCGAACTGCTGCAGCATACACTCGATCCTTCACAGACAGCTGCATGTTGCGACGGTGCCACAGATGTCTCAAGTTAACAAATGCCAACCGAGCCTTCTGCATGCGAGCTGACACTTCATCAGTGATGCGTCCACCGTGTGAGATGTAGCTGCCCAGATAACCAAACGTATCCACGTGCTGGATTAATTCCCCAGTTAGAGTGAGGCTGGGTGCTGGACCAAACCATTCTTGTAGTAGCATTTTACACTTTGAAGGTGCAAAATGCATATCGAAAATGGCTACACTAGTACTCAAGCTATCCAGAAAAGGTTGCAGCTGACCTGAATTTTCACTTCGCAGTACAATTTCGTCTGCATATTATAGATCAAACAGTCTCACACCTGGGAGTAAATCAATACCACTATCCTCGCACGAGGATAGGACTGTTTCTATACTCAAATCCATAACACAGAAGAACTCGGGTGAAAACGTGCCGTAAGCTCGAACTCAGCTTCGGCTATGAGTATAGAGGGATTTTAATATTGAAATTAACTTCTCGGGCACACCCTTCAGGGAAAGGCAGTGCTAGAGTTTAGAGCGGTCGACTAAGTCGAAAATCGCTTTCAGGTCATGGAAAACTGAGATGGTTGGTTTATGAAAAGAATGTCGGTGATCTAAAGTTTGGCAAAGGGTGAACATGTGAGCGATACAACCGGATCAGGCCCAAAACCAGCGTGGTTCTCACGTGTGCACTCTTCACTTGCGGAAGACAATCGACGGAGTGTGCTACCAGCGAGAAGTTTAGAGACGATGTTGATTAAACTAATTCCTCCGTGGTTTTCACAAGAGAATCTGTCACCTTTCTTGTAAATAGGTATGATGTCCAATTCACACCTATCAGCTGGAATCTGTTCTCTCTCCNCGAGAAGTTTAGAGACGATGTTGATTAAACTAATTCCTCCGTGGTTTTCACAAGAGAATCTGTCACCTTTCTTGTAAATAGGTATGATGTCCAATTCACACCTATCAGCTGGAATCTGTTCTCTCTCCCACACCGAGCCCAGGAGTTTCGTTAACTCCGAAACCAATGCTAAACAGCTATTCTTAAAAATGGATGGAGAGATCCATCTGGGTCGAAGGCTTCATGCCTTTTGAGATAGCTTATTTACTGGGAAACTTCTATTCCAGATGGAATACTGGCATCGACAGGCAGAATTTGCGCAGTTGCGGCGGAGGGCGATATGTCAGAAGTCGAAGATTGCGACTATTACCCATAGCCACAGCCTTCTTCATCTCTCTGCACTTTCCTATTCACCACTTCTCGTGGTCATTCCTCAGACTCTTGATGAGCTGGCGTTTGAGGGACTTGGGCGCTGTTTCATATGCGGCATTGTGAGCAAGGGTTCTGAGGGCGTCCAACAGGGCAGCCGAGGTCGATGTGATCCATCGTTTATGTTTTTAGCCGTCGTCAGGGTTTGACGTTGCTTCTATTGATATTTGCATGGTCTCATTGGTTTGCTTCCAGTGTTCATTGAGTCGTTTGGCTGGTGATTGAACTGACCGGCTATCAGAGGGTCCCGCTTCGAAGGCTGATTTGCAAAAATAGCTGATGTTGTATCGTGGGTATCCGTTTTCGATGGTTTTATTACGGTTGTTTTCCAAGCGTAAGCAAAATTTTGCTCGTAGCAAAGCGTGATCCTTATCCACAGGTGTAGACCAGTAAGAGTGGCAGTCTTCAATCGATCCCTTCTAGCGGTAACTGATACCAATGTGTTCGATTTGAGTTCAGCACTGTGAAGAGGTTGGCGTTTTCCTTGTAAGGCGGTGTCGTGCTTGATGACCAATCTGAAAAGGTACAGAGAGCGTTATCATGAAACCACGTGTGGTTCAGTTACCTCTGCTAAAAGAAGGAAAAAAAGATAGGTCAAGCATCCAGATTCTTTTATCCCAGAATGTTTATCCCAGATGCAGTATCACTTTTCCCTTGGGACTGTCATTAGTATGCTGATTCACCTGAACTATGTAGTGTGTATGTGTGCGTATTTTCGGCAAACAAAAACCGAAAGTTTGATGAAGTATCCTAAATTCAGTCAACGAAATCGGGAGAATTTTAGATCGATACACATCACTGAATAGATAGAACGAGGGAATTTAAGAGTAGTTTTTAAGCTATTCAATATATTCGGTTCGCATGGGAAACACCCACGGTTTCAATGGTCACAATAGTTTTACCTGAACGTTTTAAATGAACCGAAATATTCGTTTAAAACTTTCTGGTTGAGCTATTAAATTTAAAAATTTTCACTTGTAATGTTTTTCGTTTTAGAACCAGTCACGATTTCTAGGTCAAATTCTTAGAACTTCCTAGGACATGAAAGTGCAAGATAAAGATGGTTCTGTCAAAACAGGAAACATAGATAAATAGAAAAATTCGTAATTGAAGTGAAGCAGTCTAGTGTTTTCGATCGTGCGGTAATACGCTCACTGCTCAAAATCACTGTCATGAAACTGAAAAAATCTTGTTTTCCTGAGCATCAGCAATCATCGTATTAGTCAGTGCGACAGAAGGCCACAGAAATCTGTTATTATCTTACGTGGTTTTTGTTTGCGAAAACTTGTGAAAAGACCCATCTAAAAGAAGTCGGATAATATTCCCACCTCAGACGAAAGAAAACAGAAACTCAGCGGAATAGAAAACATCCATTGCGCGCAAAGGCAAATCAATGACGGCTTTTTGCACCCAGATGCGTAAAGCTTCAACATTTTCAGCACAAACGTGGTGTCAAAAAAGTAAAAAGATCGACTGGAAATCGACTGGAAAAGTGAGGGCCAGATGTGAGGAAATTGAGTTTACTGCCTGTTTGCCAGGGGAAATTTGGCCACACTCACGAGAAACGTTAACGTAATAATTTCCGATCATAGAAATCGTATTAACTGATTGCACTCGAAATTTGTCCATCATAATCCGGTGCATCGTTTATATCGCATTCATTTTGATTCAGGGCCAAGTGGTGTTAGATGCAGACATGCCACATGGTCAGGCGTTGCCGGATGTGAATAAACATCCAATTGGGACCAATTACTACGACCCCGACGAACAGCTACTGTACTTGGTAGTCGGAGGATCGCGCACAGTCGAGGTGCATTCAACGTCCTATTTGAAACTCAGCCTGACAGTGGATGGTGAAGTTCTTCTAGACGCGTTCTATTTGGGCTATTTGAGAACAAAATTAGCCAAATATTTGGGGGTGAGTGGATCTATTTCAGGATGACGTTCGATGGTTTGTGCCTTGCTCGTCTGATTCTCCCACTTTTCATATTTTCAACCTGTTTGAAACGACACAACTAAAGCAAATTAAGAGAATGAATGTAATATGACGGAAAACAAACTAAACCATAAAAAATTGACGACTTTATACATTCTATATTGAGAATTTAAAAAATGGAATAATCAGAGAAAAAGTTTAGCTACTCTCTTTTCAGCGCAATTTTTATGTGGTTCAGTAACAAATTTACAAGGTCTCTGTTACCAACCTTGGCTGAGCTTAAATGAAATGTGTGGTGTTTGCTCATTATCTGTCTGCCTGTCTGTCTGTNTGTTTACTTGTTTATTTTTAACATTATTTTACTCAACATCATACACATCCAAAGGATGGCGTGATTGCATACGGGAACAGATGGGACATCTGATTATGACCAAAAACAGTAGAAACGGCAATGAAGAATGCCGAGTGAGAAATTTCTTTGAGAGACCCCGGCGATATTTGGCTCAGTTGTAATCAAATAAAGTACATCCTAAATACCTCATTTACAGCACCATGATTCGATACTGTGTAGGTGAGTTAGTGGTGTAGGGTAATCTTTCGTCAGTTAGGTCATATGCGATGAGGTTAGGAGCATCTCATTTACTTACAGAACGTCGAAATGTAGTATTGATTCTTACGATTTATTTTCGTAAGTAAACAGGAGAGGGGAAGATTATGCTGGCCTATTCAAATCACTTCCGCTGTGGCCAAAATATAGTTTGTACTTCCACCAAATCGATGGCTGCCAACGAAATGGAAGAGCAAAACGCATTGACCAAAGTGACCATGTGGTTAGATTATACCAAGGATGAAACGATCAAACTGCTGATGATTCTAGTCATTTCACTATCCAGCTAAGTAGGGTGGTGCTCGCGGACATGTTTAGATTAACGTCTTCTCCTACTAAGCCAACACAGAAACATCTTGCGGCAAAAGGCCCTTTATACGTGAGTTGGAAGCCAACGCGTGGCTCCGAGATTAACACAATGTGAAGTTTCTCTGGGATAAATGTGTTTTCCCAGTCAGTTTAAGTATTGTGATTTGGTAGTTGGATCGCGATTAAAAGACGATGATACGTAATCCAGTTCCCCTCTCCCAACGATAAGCATCTCTTTTGGCAATCAGTGATGCCATAAAATTTTTCTGGAAATCCTCTCTGAAGGAAATCCCCTAGAATGAATCTCAGTTCACTCTTAAGTGTATCTTCTCCAGGCTTTGAAGCGAAACACTGGATCAGAAATATAAACAAATACATATAGCTATCAACAAAAGGGGGAAATAGCGAGATAGTTGTAAAACGCAAGAGGTTACAGCAAAGGGAGAATATTTTGAAGCGATTGTAATAAGGAAATGTGATGAAAGAAACCGTTGCTCGATTATCAATCACATTTTTTTGATTGTATGATTTGTATTTGTAATCAATGCACAGTTTGAATGAGGACAGAGCAACACGGGCAAGTTTTGCTACTGAAAGCCTTATCTCTGACTAGCGACCGAAAACCATCTCTTCGTCTCTGTCACGGCATTCGGGGTACAACCAGGACCAGACAGTCATGGTACAACATCTTGTGTTATCCGCGAAAAATCTACCAGACGGGATAATGTGCCACGAAAACAGCATATGCTTAGTCTCGTGCTACGTTCGGGCACCCAGGAGGTGGTTGAGCTGCCTAAGCCTGCAAACTAATACGACATGGTGCATAAGGCAACTATTTAAGTGACCCACTATTTGCTGTCGGACTACATTGCTGGGAAGACGATAATGGTGTCACACCTCGGCGATATTCTGAATAGCAGCATGATCGAAGATAGAAAGTTGGTGAATATCTTTTCTTAGCCGTAGGCTAATAGAGTACCGAAGTCAGGATGAAGCATACGCGCTCTTTTCGCAGACCGCGGAATGACGCTATGGTGTGGCCAATACGTCAGATTGGAAAACATTACCCCAGAATATGGGGTAGGATCTTAACAACCGTAAATCAGCATTTTACTTTTGCTGATTGAAATCTCCGTTCCCGCAGCAACTTGCCTCGAATAGCAACTGACAGTGACTGATATTTGTATCGTTGTTTTATTTTCAGTTGCTTCAATCTCAAGTGGTTGTGACTCGTCCGGCGGCAGAGGCACTCTATAGTGAACGTTCAAGACGTGTCGCGCGTTCAGCAAACCCGAGTACAGTTCAGTTAGACGTGATTATTGCACAACCACCCCAGATCAACGAAACTGACAACCGGACAGCACTGGATTTATCCCGAATTGAGGCCACATTGAATAGTACTTTAGAAAGTGGAAAACTTGATCAAGGTATGTACTGTGCCTTTGCATCGTCACACTGTTAATTGGTGATTGAATCAGTCGATCAGTATAATCGCGAAATCAAGCAAACTGTGTGAGATGTGAGTTTGAGGGATGATATGAAAATAGTCCCGCTCAATCATGCTGAACTGCCTGTGATGTGATCGCACAAAAACGTATCATATTACGGTAAGCCGAACTCACAGGAGGAGGAGAGTGACTAGCTTTTTTATTAGGAACTGTTATCGTGTATGTGGTGCCCAGGAGAGGGTTACATGAGGCACAAATTTGATCAACCAGATTTTTTTCATTTCCAGCCTATCGGTAACCTAATTGCTGACAGTCATCGGAGCTGATAGATCATTTAGATCTATCTTGGCCTTGTTTACAAAATTGGTTGTTTAAGGAAAACGCAGAGCTACCGCAACAAAATTCACACACACACATGTTGATCAATAAATGTTTATATCATTGTATAAACAAACATGTTGTAAACCGTACAGCCTTTCATGAATTTCGTTCGAGTTCCAAATGATGTAGACCAATAACATTCTTCTCGATACAAACAAAGTATACTTAGAAAAGTTATTCGTCTGTCTTCCAGCCTGCCTGCCTGCCTCATTTTGATTGATTGGCCATCCACAGTGTTACAAGAAAAGTAATAAATTCACGATGGTATGGACTATCAAATCTTTTCATACAAATATACGATTTCGTCGATAAGAGCTAATGGATCATGTCGTGTATTTTATCATTTTATATCGATGGAGAACGTAACAGACCAGGAGTTTATGTATGCTGTATTTTGTCTGAATAACTGAAAAAGGAGGTAGTTAATCGCAATATCAGATTTTTCTGTAAGCTGTATTATTATTATTGCGAGGTTAGAGGGGTATTTTATCATGAAAACTATGTAAGGTATGGGAGACTAAGCGATGTTATAAGCTATTTCGAGTGCAAAAGGGTGGTAACATAAACTACTTCCTACAGACTCGGCAGCGACCAGGATGTGACTTTTTATCAAGTTGAATCGGAAAATCCGGAACAAAGTAAAGAGAACGGAATACATCAGTCACAAATCATTTTCGATTATGGTTTCGGTGAGGGGTGATATAATACCGCCTCTAATTGTTTGGATTTTATTAGTGTTCAATCAGGCCAGATATTGTTTCCGAACTTCCGAACGCCTGCGCGTAAGGCCGATCTATGTTGCTTGACGGAACACGAAAATAAACAAATAAAATGAGAATGCAGAGCGCAGAAACCGTGTCTAGGAGTTGTAAACACATAACCGATCGGGAGACAGATACGAAAGGTAGTTTTGCTGCTGTGGTTATAAGTTTTCGGCGGAGTAAGTGCATCACGATAACCCTGTTCTTGTGAAAAATGCAGAGATACACTAATTTATGTTCCGGATCGAGATATTTCTCTTCACTCCCTTATAATCTTTTAGTAAAAGATAGGGATCTGTAAAAAAAGAATTTATGTATAACAGATAGTGGAACGCTTCAGTATGTGGCTCGAGTCTGAGTCCTACAGTCACCTGAAATAACTAGGGTTTCCCTGAGTCACAAAAAAGTTAAGCCTGAACCCGATTGACTTAGCCCACAACAAGGGACGAGATCAAGGAACAATAAATAAAACCACGGAATTTTATCAAAAAATAAGCAATAATAAGTGAATATTTATAACATTTTTTGATGTGTTTTCTCTCAACTGGATTAAGAAAGCCATTGAAAAACATTTAGCGTGTCGGAATTGAGAAAAAGCTTATCGATCATTTAATGAATCCTCATTTTATCACACCACACAAAACATCAGTTCTGAACGTGTCGATCGCGACTGCTCAACTGAAAGCAATTTTAACGGAAAAAGATCGAGCTCTCAGGAGGCCCAGAGCAACCCCATCCTACTACTTGGACGATAAATGGGAACTCATAGTGCAACCGCCAAGCAACATCTTCGCAAACATTCCATTCGTCTTGATCCACGGAATTCGGTCCAAGACGGTATGAATAAAAAGAATTTGTTTGGGTTATTACAATACTGGTACAGTTGAATTTTGATCGCAAAACTGTTCATTTCTGTTTGGGAAATCAATGATTTGAAATGACATTTTGGAGCACATTATTCATTCGTAAGAGTATCCTCAGAGCTAGTCAACGCCACACAGAGTGGACTATTGTCTTTGATCACGGAAAGTATTTTCAAGCCAGATTAACGTGAATCGTTTCATCCAATCTAAATTGAACCAATTCAGTTTTCGCCTCATCCAATTTCAACATAAACGATGGTGAAAAGTGATCAATCAATTCCACTGGGATTTTGAAGCATGAATCCGCGACACACAAATCTCTGATAAGCTGACCTCTTCCTATTGCAATCTCTTTCAAATCAACTTTGACGTCACATACTCATGCTATATCCTATGTCCTATGCTGTCAGAACACCGTGTGCCTCACACTTGCACTGTTGTGCGTTTTGGTCTTTTTAAGATTTGAGACAGAAATCTTCCCTAACTAATCATAAACACTGTAGGTTTTGGAGTGGGTACGCGTTTGAGCTCCTAGACCGTTTGAAAACGCAACTCATCCAATACTCCTAACCCGAAAACCCTCTGTTATGACTCAACCCACTAAATTCGAACGACATTTCTTACCAGGAAGTCGCCTATTGAGAAATACATCAAACAAACAGACTCAATGAGTATGACGAACGCTTTGGTTTTAGACTGAGCTATTTGTTTCATTTTTATCTTGAGCACTTGCGGTATTCACCTCTAACCTATTGGGATTTGGAATTAGAATGATAATCGGGAAGACAATTACAACCTATTTTAGGGTGAAGCACATGAGAAGTGAACGTGTGTGGCGATCCAAGCATACAAGAGGCTAAGCGTTACAATTGACCGTCCACAACACACAGACCAATAGCATCAACTAATCAATGACTATATAATTCACATAGAGCTCCTATTATGACTTGGACGACAAGGACAGTTTTGCTACACATTGCACCGGGTCCAATACGGTAGCTACTTTCCGTTGTAAACAAGCGCACCGATTGTGACAACAGAGGAGTAAATATGGAGGGAAATCGAATAACCAGTTCTGTGCTCCAAATGAACTGTTGCTACAGAGGATCAAAGTCTCGGTTCCTCATCCTAGCTTTGATTAAACCAGTAGTAAACTATTCGACTTTTGAACGCTATTCCTCTAAACTCTCTCCCTTATTCGCTCTGTATGACTCTTTCTGATTGCATTTTTCTCC